TTTACAAAAAACAATGCTTGAGAATCTTGCCTTTCTGACCCTACAAGTTTACTTTCCCAATAACAGCAGGAGTATTATCTGAAAATCAGAATTCCTTAGCTAGCAGAAGCTGGTAATCAAGTATTCTTCCCTACTATTTTTTATGAATAAATAAATAAATAAATAAATAAATAAATAAATAAAGGCCACTATCACCCTAACAATTTGCTTATTTCCACATACATATATGAATCCAAAAACAGTATTCTGTGCATGTATTGATGTGCATCAAGATATATATTTTAAAAGATGTAATTCTGCGCTATTTTTTTTAGAAAACGTTAATATTAATGATGTGTAAAAGTCCATTTTTTTCCTTTTAACGTCTCTGAGGTTTTTCATCATGCGATCATACCACATACATTTATCCACTCCCCTATTAATGGTCATCTTGTTTCTGCCTCATGATACCCATTTATCTTATGTATGCATTTCCTAGAGTCATTTCACTTCCTGGTTATTTGTACTTAATGTATTTGGCCTTGAACCTATTTGACCTCAAACTCCACTCAAACATTTCTAACTCAAAATACAGCAGATTCTAATTGCCCATTTATAGGATATACAAGAGACTGAGAAACATAGCAAACCACACCAAAAGGATGTAATCAGCAAAATCCTGCAAAGAAACCTTACAGGATAAAATGCTTCCTTCAACAAAAATTGTAAGAGGTGAAAAAGAAAAGAGAGAGATGAAAGGGGAATCCGTAGTTAAAAAAAAAAAAAAAAAAGACTGTGCTTCAAAAGATACCATCATAAAAGGAATAAACAACCCATAAAAGGAGAAAAAAATGTTTATAAACAACCTATCTGATAAAGGACCTATAACCAAATTATATAGAATTCTTATACCTCAACAGAAAGGAAAACAACCTCTTAAAAAATGGACAAAGAGCCGAAACCTGTTTGGCTCAGGGGATAGAGCATCAGCCTGCGGACTGAAGGATCCCAGGTTCAATTACGGTCAGGGGCATGTACGTTGGTTACAGGCACATCCCCAGTCGGGAGTGTGCAGGAGGCAGCTGATGGATGATTCTCTCTCATCGATGTTTCTAACTCTCTATCCCTCTCCTTTCCTCTCTGTAAAAAATCAAATTACATATATATATATATATATATACATATATATATATATACACACACACACACACATATATATATATAAAATTATTTTTTTTAATGGACAAAAACTCTCAACAGACATTTCTCCAAAGAAGATATACAAGTGACCAATAAGCACATGAAACAGTGTTCAACACCATTAGTCATTAGGGAAATGCAAATCAAAACCACAAAGAGACACCACTTCACAGCCACTAGAAGGGTAGACTGCAGAAACCAGAACCTTCATGCAGTGCTGGTGGGAACGGAGAACGGTGCAGCCACACTGGAAAAGTCTGACAGTTCCTCAAATGGACCCAGTAGTTCCACTCTTAGGTGTACACCCAAGGAAAATAAAAACATATTCCCACCCAAAACCTTGTATGTGAGTGTTCACTGCAGTATTATTCATAATGGCCAGAGTGCAAACAAGTCAAATGTCCATCTACTAATAAAGGAAGAAACAAAATGTGGCATATCCAAGGCCTGGGTGCAAGAGCAGCACCTACAGAGTGGGGAGCAGGCGATGGTTTTGCTGGGGGATCTGGAGAAAGAGCTCAATGAACCGCAGCATGAAATGGCAGCCTGCAGACACAGACACTGGGCACCCAGCGTGGTGGCTCAATGGTTGAGTGTTGACCTATGAACCAGGAGGTCACGGTTCAATTTTCCAGTTCGATTCCCCATCAGGGCACATGCCTGGGATGCGGGCTCGATCCCCAGTAGGGGGTGTGCAGGAGGCAGCCAATCAATGATTCTCTCTCATCACTGATGTTTCAGTCTCTCGCTCCCTCTCCCTTATTCTGTGAAATCAATAAAAATATATTTAATTTAAAAGAGAGAGATAGTGGCTCCAGAGGAGCAGGCACCCTGAGCCTTCCATCCCTGGAGGAGCCCCTACTCACATGGGAGCCTACCTACCCTATTGGAGAGACAGACAGACTGACCAGGACTGAGGAAGGAGAGTGGTGCGAGGAAAATAGCCCTGAGACAGTAGTCCTGAGCGACATAGGAGGATATTTTACGTAGACACCAGGGAGGTGTCACACCAGGATGCCCGACATGGAGAAGCTGGTGAGCATAAGGCTCCGATTGAAGGGCCCTGGGGAAACCCCGTAGAAGAAAGACAACACAAATGTGATGAATGTGGGAAGAGCTTCGCTCAGAGCTCAGGACTCATTCAACATCAAAGAATTCGCACTGGAGAAAGACCCCATGAAGGTAATGAGTGTGGGAAGGCCTTCAGTCAGAGTGCCAGCCTCATCCAGCACCAGAGAACCCACAGGGGAGAGAAGCCAGTGGTGCTCCTCACTCCTTTCGTGTGGAGCACCGGAAAAGCCCTCCGGGGAGCGGCCTCCCCAGTGCAGTAAGTGGGAAAGCTTTCATCCACACCATCACCTCATCTGCCATCAGGAGATTCACAGCGTGGTCAAGCTAATCCAACCCTTGCTATGTGCAAGTTTTCCAGTTTGTTGGCCAAGTCCTGTGCAGCAGGTGAAGACTGGAGAATGCTTTTCTCCCGGTCTCTGCTCAAGGCGTTTTGGAACAATTACTGACCTGTGGTGTGAACACATCCTAAGAGGAAACTTAACAGGTTTTTTAAGCTACTGCTTTCCCTTTGGTTTCTTTTTTTTTTTTTTTTCTTTTCTTTTTTAATATATTTTATTGGGAGAGGGATAGTTAAAAACATTGATAAGGGAGTAATACTGATCAGCTGCCTCCTGCACACTCCCCACTGGGGCATCTCCTTTTGGTTTACCTCTTCCTGGTCACTACTAGTCCATCCTCTTATTTATTCTCTTTCAGGTGGCTCTAAACCTTCCTAACAATGTAATAAATTGTGCCACTATCGCCAACAGGCTTTGAAAGCTCTGTGCATCTGGATTTAAGCCCTGAAGTCCAAAAAGAGCTCTGCTGATGTTCTAGGTGACCCGCGCTGGCATGGCACATCTTCTCCGCCTTACTGCTTCCCTCTGACACCTACACAACACTCCTTTTTAAATGCTGGGTGTGTACACTTTGGCAAGTTATTCACCTTCCCGTGACCCAGTTTTATCATTTGTAAACAATGGATTACAGTATAACTACCTCATAATGTTTTTGAAAAGATTTAAAAATGTAATTCAGATGAAGCTTAGTGCATGACAGACTAAGCACTCAATAAATATTCACTATTTGTATTACAACTGTTGACCCCAAGAAGGAACATACCTGCAAAAAAAGGACTTCCTAGCAATTAATTGGGTCCAAATTCTTCACCAAAGTCTAGTAGCCATTGCTGATAGAGGCCATACATGTATCTTGCATCTCAGGGAAAAGCCACAGACTGAGGAGCCAGCCTCCTGCACTGTGTTTCTGTTAGCAGAGTTGGACTTATAAAGGAGTTCCTGGGATGGTACGTTGGCCAATGGGCCGGAGACCTGCCCCATCCAATTAGAGCTGCACAATTAGAGCCTCATTTGCACCTTTACTGACCAATCAGTAGATCCGTAACAACCAACCAGAATGTGCAATTCCAACTTACTGGACAGTACTATTTGAACCATTTAACTGCAAATTTGGATTCCTCATTTGCATAAAAATGGACCAATCAGTGACCATTGTGGGCATTTTATATAAGGGGCCTCCCCTTTGTCTCAGTGGAATGCACTTTCAGTTTCTGCCCAAGGCTGCACTTCTCTGGTTTGCAGACTATTCACCTGAATAGTCTCTCCTTTTAATGCACACACAAAAAAAGTGTCATATCCATATAATGGAATATTATTCAGCCATAAAAAGAAATGAAGTACAGATAATATGCTACATTTTGAGCCTTGAAAGCATACTTCATGCAAACAGCTGGACACAAAAGGCCACAGTATGATTAATTTATATGAAATATCCAGAATAGGAAATCCAGAGAGAGAGGGAAAAAAAAATAGATTAGTGATTGCCTGGGGCTTAAGGGAGGGAGAATGAGGAAGAGCTGCTAATGGGTACAGGGTTTCTTTGGGAGTAATGAAAATGTTCTAAAATTGATTATGATGATGTTTACAGAACTCTGTTATATATTGAACACTAAAAAAATAACAAACTTAAGAATTAGAGAGAGACCTAAAAGACAATTTGCATTGTGTAAATTTTATTTAGATCCTGGATTTTAAAAAATACACTATAAAGTAGAATTATAAAGCAAGTATGGAAATTTGAACACTGAATCTCTGATATTAATGAATTATTACTAATTTCTTACAGTTATGGAAGTGAAATTGTGTTTTTAAAGAAGTGCCTGTATTTTTTTATATTTTTTAAAATATATTTTTTATTGATTTCAGTCAAAGAAGAAGGGAGAGGGAGAGAGAAAAACAGAAACATCAATCATGAGAGAGAATCACTGATCAGCTGCCTCCTGCACACCCATACTGGGGATCAAGCCCAAAACTTGGGCATGTGCCCTTGGCCGGAATCAACCTGGGACCCTTCAGTCTGCAGGCCAATGCTCTATATACTGAACCAAACCAGCTAAGATAGAGTACTTATATTTTAGGAATACATATTAAAATTTTTACTGGTGATATGATAGAACTTCTAGGATTTGCTTCAAAATAAACTGAGGAGAGAGGTAGAAAGTAAATAGGTAAAGTGGTCATAAGTTGATAATTGCTCATTCAACTATTCTCCCCACTTCCCTGATGTTTGAAATTTTCTGTTAATAAAAAGAACAGAAGAAAGAAAATATTTCCATGTCATGTTATTTTGTTGTATAACAATCTCAACAGTGGGAAAACCCTATTTCAATTGTATTCTCAAGAAATGATTGATGGAAACCTGTATGTGTATTATTTACAATTTGAGGAAATAAAGAAACGATTGAAAAATACCTTGGACTTCCCCCGCCATCCTCAGCAACCACTTTTTCTGCCTCAATTACAATCTTTCCAAAAGAAGGCTTTCATTCTTAATGCTTTTTCCTTCAAAAACAAAAACAAAACAAAAAACACATTTATTGGTTTCCTTTTGTTTTGCCTTAGACCTAATTATTTTTTAATTACATTTTAAAACTCATCTTTGATACTAAGTTGCTCCTTAAATGATACATTGATTCATTTCCCCCTGGCTTGTCAATTTCATTTACTCCTCTGAGGAAGGCAGAACTGTGAGCTTGGAGCCTCCTAGGTCACAATAATAGAAAGATTTTTTTTTAGGGCCAAAGCAACCCCACCTGAGCCCCATGTCCTTATGAAAACAATAATAGCGCTAATTTCCTGACTACATACATACCAAGGAGGGGCAAAGTACCACTTACTTCACCTGAGTAATGTTATCTCGTCACTGCAACAAGCCTAGAGACAGGAACCATTATTTATCCCCATTCTGCTAGGACTTGCAGAATGATCAAGCAACTTACTCTAAATCACACAGCTTTATGTGGCAGCACCAGGATTTGAGCCCAGGCTGTTTAGTTCCAGGGCTTGCACTTACACCAGACTAGATTACCTCCTGGGTGGAAACCAGCTCATCTGTGTTGTGGTATTACTCATGTCCAAGGACCAGAAAGTTTAATTAAAATTCATTCAATCTGGACACAGAAGATGGGCTGTCTCCCAGGGAAATCCCCCCCCTCCTCCCGCCCCAGCTCCCTCGTTAGGACCATCAATTTCACAAATCTTACTCTTGAATAACAAAAACAAAAGCACATTACTTGGAAAACATTCCACAGAGATAATTTAAAAGTTACAGATGACAAGAGAGATTGCCTTAGTCTTGCCCACTCCTGACCTCCAGAAAATGCTTGGGTGAAGGGGCTAGGGCTAAGGGCTGGACTTTTCAGGAAAGAGAAAACAGAGCCCTCCTAAGTGAATCCAGATCCCAGTTAGGGTGAGCTGAGAGGCTTCCCCCGAGCCACTCCCATCTCCACATGCAACACCCAGGAATGACTTAGCACCAAAACACCAACAGAGAAAACGACTGAGGATCCCTGGCCAAGTCTCAGGACTAAACTTCAGAAACACTGAGGACTACCTCCCAGGAAACTCCCTCCCCCTCGCAAGCTCCCCACCAAAACCAGCCTCCTCCCCTTGTGGGAGAAAGAGGGGTGGACTGGGCAGGGCAAGCAATGGTCCCCAGATTGGCTCTACATTGCACAAGGGAAGGCTTGCAGGACAGGACAAGGGAGATCTCAAATGATCTAAGAAAATGAAGGGGCTGGAGTACAAAAAAAAACACAAACAAACAAAAAAAAAAACCACCAAGGACCAAAGTGGGATACAAAGTAACTGAGAACAGCGGTGACTGGAACAGCAAAGACTGGGGGCAGAGGAATAAGAGGAGCCGGGAAAACAAAGAGGCTGGAGAATTCCTAGTCCTCTGCGGATCGGAGCTTCGGGGACACGGGGTTCAGGGGTCAGCAAACTAAGTGTTCGGAGAGGACGCTCAGCCCGTGTGGAGACTGCAGTGACTGGACACCGAGGGCCTGAGGACGCGGATGACCGAGGAGCAGGGGGAGCCTGAATTGGACCCGGGACTCAGGAAGTCTCCGAGTTAGTTGGGACTGAGACACAGGAGGTCTGAGAACCGGGGGGTCTGGTAACTGGGCAAGGGGTCGGGGGGCTGGGAAGGGCTGGCGGATTGGGGTACAGGTGTCGAAGGGCTGGTTCCCAGAGATGGACAGGAGGCAGGGGACTAGGAGTGCCTGAGCTCGGGACGCCCGAGAACTGCAGGTGATCAGGGCAAGAACTGGGCTGGTGACAGTGTCCTGGGAGCGCTGGGACGGGGTCCGGGAGCGAGACGTGGGGACCAGGGGCCGGAGTGTGCAGCTGAGGCGGCGGAAGCCGGGACGGACGGGGCGGGTGACAGCGGCGGAGCCGCCACTCACCGCTCATGGTGCCTCTCCCCGGGCCGGTGGAAGCGCCTCGCCGCTACTGCCGCCGCCGAGCTCCGACAGGCCGGGCCACTGCGCGCCCCGCCCCTCCCGCCGGCCCGTCCTCCCCCCCCCCCGCCCCGCCCCGGAACTGGAGTGTCGGCTCTGTGGCCCCGCCCCCCGACCCGGAACGTAAACACCGGCGCCGGCGCCGGCGCGGGGTCGGCAGACTGGAACCTCCTTGGAGACACGTGGTCCGTCCATCATCGGGTACAGCTGGGTGATCTGGACGCGTGGGGCCGGGACGGGCAGACTGGAACCTCCTCGGAGACACGTGGTGGCCCGTCTGTGTTGGGGTACAGCCGGGTGATCTGGACGCCTCCCCGCCCTCTGCCGGAAAGCCAGACAGTAAACAAGGAAGGGCCGAGAGGGAACGACGCCAGGCAGCGCTAGAAGCGGAGAAGGGAAAAGACTAATGGGCCAAAGCATGGGGACAGGGGAGACGGGCAGTCCCAGAGGGCCTCTCTAAGGAAACGAGTTGTTGGGGGGGGGGTTTTTTAATATATTTTATTGCTTTTTTACAGAGAGGAAGAGAGAGAGATAGAAAGTTAGAAATATCCATGTGAGAGAAAGATCATCGATCAACTGCCTCCTCCACACCCCCTACTGGGAATGTGCCTGCAACCAAGGTACATGCCTTTGATCAGAAGCGAACCCAGGACCTTTCAGTCCCCAGGCTGACGCTGTATTCACTGAGCCAAACCTGTTTCGGCTAAGGAGACGACTTTAGAGCTGAGACCTGCATGATTAAGGAGACAGCGGGGAAGATCTGCAGGAAAGGAACAAGTGCAAAAGGCCCTGCCTAGAGGGATTGGCTGGAGGGAGAGCGTGAGTAAGGGGTAGTCAGAGGTCAAGAGTTGGGTGGAGGTTGGGGGGGGGGGGGAGAGATCAAAACTGGAGTATCAATACTCATATCTGACAAAATAGACTAAGATCTGGAAACAGTCCCAAGTGCCCATCAGCAGATGCGTGGATAAAAAAGCTGTGGTACATTTATATCGTGGAATACTGTGCAGCAGTAAAAAAGAAGAGTCTCACCCTTTGAGACAGCATGGAAGGACCTGGAGAGTAGTATGCTAAGTGAGATAAGTCAGTCAGAGAAAGAAAAGTATCACATGATCTCATTCCTATGGAATCTAATTAACAAAATAAGCTGATGAAGTGAGTGGATCCAAAGAAGTGGAAGCTGGGATCTGAGCGGGAAGGTGGGGCTGGGTGGGTTGGTGAGGTAATCATCCAAAGACCTTCTATGCATATATGCATAATCCATGGATGCGTACAGTGGGAAGGTGAGGGCCTGGGGCGGAGGTTGGGGGTAGTGGGGATGATTGGGGGGGGGGGGGGGAGACTTATGTAATACTTTAAACAATAAAGTTTAAAAATTAAAGAGTTGGGTGGAGGATCTTGCAAGCCATTGTAAGCTGTTTGAACTTTTCAACCTGACTCTTAAGTAGTTTTTGCACAAGAAACATTCAGACCTGTAAAGAATTTTTATGAGTTTAGTTGAACCAAACTTTCAACAACTGCTGGGAAGCAGAATCTCAATGTATTGAGCCAATGCTCTAGAAAATCGCAGTTTTTCACTAATTTTTATAAATTACCATCAAAGGAGGAGAGTAAGTGGGTTACATGAAATCCTTTGGTGATAGATTAGGGATGTGGTAGAAAGCAAGGCAGGAAAACCTCTGGGATTGGAAAAAAGTAAACTAATAGACATATGCTTCTTTTACATAGGTGAGTATAGGATAGTTAAGTCAACAATTAAGGATAACGGTAACAATGAAGGGGTTTGCACATTGATTGTGCCCTAAGGGGTCTGGAAAAAGGGAAGGTACAAGTTACTGGTGACATTCCAAAGGTATGTTATCTAGATGCAAAAAAATTAAAAATGGAACTCCCATTCGACCCAGACTTTAACTTGGTGCTGGAAGACCAGGAATTAAAAGCCTAACATCAACTTTTGAAAAATCTAAATTCATTGAGGAGGTTATACCAGGTTTGAGGGGATTAGGAGCAATATAATAAATAGTAAAGGAGTGTGTGCCTGCCCTCAGAGAGACTCAACCTCAAAGGAACTAATAAAAATCATCAGAGCAGTGTGACTAACCAAATTGCTTATTATAAACCAGATACTTTTATGGGGGAGAAATGTAGTCACCCAAGGTCTATCACCTTCTACTAACAGAGCCAGGATTCAAACCCAGGCAGTTGGGCTCTAAGAGCCAGAGCCTGAACCACTATACCGGTTTGTCTCCTGTGGCCCTCAAGGGCTTGAAAAGGAGCCACGATGAGTCCCAAATGGGTAAAAAGATCCCGCCAAGGTTCCCCATATCCCAAGCCTGACACAAAAGCCACAGAGCCCCAAGACCTTGAAGATCTATGCTGTGGTGTCAGTGGGCATCTTAATGATTAAAGTCAATCGATGATCACAGTGCAGCACCTGTTGCATAGCCTTTCCATAAGAAGCTGTGCACAACCCTAAGACCTTTGCTCAATCCCAAAAGAGAAATCCTCCCCTTATAATGACTAAGACTGTAATCCAAACAGAAGGGGAACTCAGAAATGGAACTAGGTTGATGTGGAGAGAAAAAAAAAAAAATAGATCAAGATGTCTGGGTTTCAATCATGGCTTTGCCATTTAATGGCTATGTGACTGCTCTCCCTTCGTTTCTGTCATAATCTGTAAAATGGAGATGATGGTGGTCCACCAGCTTGTTTGTTGTATGCAATTAAATGAGTGAGTACAGGTAAAGCACTTAGAACAGTTCCTGCATATTAGCAACTGTATAAGTGTTAGCAATCATCATTACCTGCATTTGGGTCTAAAAAGTATACCTATCACCATTTGTAATTCTACCCATATTTATATGATTATAATAATGCCTGAGGCCTCCCGTAGACTGGAAACTCATAAGGTCATTGCACACTGAATTAGCACAGCTGACTCTAGGCTTCTCCTGGCTACAGAAGTACGCAAAATAACCTTGTTTGCCTTTACCATAAAGAGAAAAATTCAGTCTGTTCTGAAGTGCATCTGTGCCTGTAGAGGAGGGAAGTGGTCCAGCCGCAGAAAGGTGTCACTATGGGATCTACACAATGCAGTCCTTTTGTTTCAGTGAGTTAAGAATTTAATCATCGAATCCAATGACGTTTCCACGGTTAAGCTCCCAACAGTAAGACAGAGAAATATATCTAACACAATGATTTTCTAGAATTAGAGGACAGAAAGCTCTAGGGGCCACTGATAACCATCCTAAAGAGGCCTGATAGACCATCCTTTCCTCTGACAAAAGATTCTCAAAGTAGCTCTGCATCGCTCAAAATGGTTATCTGGTGGAAATGGATTTTTCCATCCTTGTGAGACTCTCAACAGCTAGCAGGCCACTGCAGTAGTCGTTGGTTTTTGTGGTGACAAGGATGGTTGCGCCTTCCTCCATTGCTGGGAGCGGAAAGAAATGGTCAGAATCGACCTTTGGTTGGCTCTTGACACAGTCTTCACAGGTACAGTCTTCTACTGTGTACTCCAGGCTTCTGGAAAGAATTTCCTCACCGGTCCTGCTATCTTCTCTACCATCCAGGTCAGCATTCGCCTCGTGCCGAAGAGGTGATCCTGATTACACAGAAACAGAAAAGTTAAACTTCCCAGGGGGTGTGGTCATGGCAGTCTTAGTAGTACACCTCAGGCCGAAAGAAAGCCGTGCCAGACAAATCTTTCCCTACAAAACAAATGAGTATGTCCTACTCTAGAAGTCAGGAACTAACAGGCCCCTGGGCACAAGACGCTCAAAGACATGCTTTAGGGCATAGAGTGTTTTTATGTGTTTGCTTATGTTGACCCACATTTAAAAATCAAGTGATTGCCCTGGCCCATGTGGCTCAGCTGGTAGAAGTCTTGTCCGTGCACCAAGAGGTGGCAGTTTCAATTCCCAGTGTGCGGGAGGCAATCAATAGATATTTCTCTCTCACATCAATGTCTCTTTCTCGCTCTCGCTCTTGAATTAAAAAAATAAAAGTATTTTTAAAAATCAAGTGATTTTGCATACAAATCTAGACTGGCCTTGATCTTATTTTACACAAATTACCATCTGTTACAGCACACCTAAATCAGCCTATTGGAACACGTTAGAATGCCAAGTAAAGATGCTACTCTTTTCACATTTTGTGTCAGATTAAAAAAGTGCAATGAGCCAAAACTGGTTTGGCTCAGTGGTAGAGTGTCTGCGGACTGAAGGGTCCCTGGTTCGATTCCGGTCAGGGGCATGTATGTTGGTTGTGGGCACATCCCCAGAAGGGGGTGTGCAAGAGGCAGCTGGTCGGTGTTTCTCTCTCATGGACGTTTCTGACTATCTCTCTCCCTTCCTCTCTGTAAAAAATCAATATATTTTTAATAATAAATAAATAAAAATTAAAAAGTGTAATGATCTTCATGATCACATAAGGAAGGAGTCTCCATTATGCCCCCACCATATGCCTGTGAAGATGTTTTACTATTTCCCCAACCTTCCACAGTGTAACTTAATCTTCCAAAACACCACACTTAGAAGTCCTTCCCCACCTGTTTCTCAAGTTCCAAGCAAAACAAAAATAAAAATGAGTAACATTATATAGGACAACCATTTACCTCTCCTTATGCACAGGAGAGTGGATAAGGTGGATGCTTTGCAGATTATGCACAAAAATGCAGAAAGAAATAGGGCAGGGGCTGCAGTATTTGAGAATCAGATTGTCAGCAAAGGTGCCGCAGAAGTAGTTTTATCTTAAGAAGCCCTTAGGACCTTGAGTGTGTAAGGAACAATCACTTCTCCGGAACATTCAGTCCTCTGGGACTGTTTCTCTACTGATTATAAAGATGCTAATCTTTGAGGTGATTGCTTACATAATCCAGGAGCAACTGGTTATTCAGTTCTAACATTTTTCAACAGTAAAATGTTCACCCAAGCAAATGGCACATATTCATATTAAACATGGCCACGGAGCGTGCCAAATACACCTTTCCTGATACGGTAGTAGCAGACCTGGCTAGCAGTAACATTTAGTCAATGTGTGAATTTTGATCAAAAAGATGGTTTGGCTCAATGGATAGTGTTGGCCTGTGGACTGAAAGGCTCCAAGTTCTATTCCAGCCAAGGGTACATGCCTGGGATGAGGGCTCAATCCCCAGTGGGGGGCATGCAGGAGGCAGCCAAGCAATGATTCTCTCTCATCATTGATGTTTCTATCTCTCTCTCCCTTTCCCTTCCTCTCTAAAATCAATAAAATATACTGTTTTTAAAAATGGACGTCTCCCAAGAAAGCTGTGGTAATTCAAAAGAGTGATTTTCAAGGGAAGAACGCGGGAGAAGACTGACACTATAGGACACCTGCAAAGAAGGTGTAAACAAGGAGAGAAGACAGCTCCCTACAACCAAAAAGTGCATTTGACATATCTGTCCTCAAAAGGGCTCCAACCTAATAAAATTTTCAAGGTAAAAAAAGAAAGAGGAACTGAAACTCGAAAAAGCCACCTCTGAGAAACAGATTTCTAAGATTGGTCACCAGACTAACCTGTGCTTCTAAATTCGTCCTTTGAAGGTTCAGAGCTCATCTTCCTTAGCAAGATCATCAGCACGAAAATTGTCAAAGACACCAGGAAGCTCAGGCCCAAACAGGTCCAGAGAATGGTATTTGTTCCTTTCACTGAGTTAAAAGCAATGTCAGAGAGAGAGAATGAACTGGTAACATCAAGTAAAGATTATTTGCTACCCAATTCCCCCTCATTCATCAGCATTGACTTTACAATTCTAAATAACACTTAATTAGAAGAGTTGATAAAATACTGGGTTGCTAACAGTGCTGAATAAAATTGAGTTCAGCTCTGAATAATCATTCCTGTTGGCATTTAAATAACGGCCTCATTACCTTTCTCTTTTTGGATTCACAATATTTCACCCCCTTCCCCGTAATGTTTATTCTTTGAATAAGCACTCAGTATAGAAAGAATACTTTACTGCACACCAATGAATAATTGTTCAAGCAATAGTACTTACTTGTATTGCAGTAACGCTGACATATGAGAGGAGGGGTATTAGAACACCGAAGGTGACACGATTTGCAAGCATTCAGCAATCTGTCAAAATATTCATTTTGGAGGCACTGCTGAGCCATCTGGAACTTGATCACAAAAAGAAACAAAAAAACCATAGAGAGAACCGCATGGAAAGACAAGTAGAATCTCTTCGAGAATTCCCCAGCCAGTGGAAGGAGAGCAGCTACAATGTCCAACAACTTCAAGGAAATAAAAGAAGTTCACCTCGATGGCTCTGGGCTTATAGGGGATGCTTTTCTGTACTGTGGCCAAGGATTTGAATACCAACTCTCATTCCCCTTTCGTAGTTTGAGGCTTGGGTGGGGTACGAGATGGAGATGGAGCGTCAATATCAAGGGCAAGCCGTACCTGAAACAGAAACTGCTTATTTATAGTGACAAGGTCTCAGCCAGGTGACAGTTGCAAGACATAGATAAGCCTGAGGCACCAGGTAGAAGGTTCTAATATAACCATGTTCCAGTGCATCTGTTTATGAGCGGAGCTGTGTGACAGGCCCCAGGGAGCTGGGTAAGACAAAGCCTGTGCCCCTAACAGAGGAGATCAAAATTCACACATGGAACCCCAACAGGTAGTTGGAACTGATGGAATGTGAAAGAGGGGAAGGGGTATCAAGCATGCCTACCAGGTTGTGAACCTAGGCAGAATTCCAGAATTCTGACCGAAAGAGGGAAGTCTCGGGAAAAAGCTAAACTGGCCTGAGAGTTGAAGAGAAAGATATGTTTGGAGTACTTTTAAATTTCTTTCTTGATTTTTAGAGAGAGAGGAAGAGAGAGGGATAGAGAGAAACATCATTGATCAGCTGCCTCCTGCATGCCCACTACTGGGGATCAGGCATGTGCCCTGACTGGGAATCTAACCAAGGCCTCCTAGTTCATAGGATGACGCTCAACCATTGAGCCACACTGGCCGGGATAGGACCTTTTTTTTTTTTTTTTTTTTTTTTTTTTTTTTTTTTTTTTTTTTAATGAAGGACTTGAGCCTTGAAGAGAGTTTGGACTTGGGCATTGATCAAAACCTCCCATTCCTCTGGGGTCCAGGCGGAAGCCTGTGTGGGATAGCCAGGAGCTGAAAGGGCTGGCCCAGCAGGTTCCCCTCCCTCAAGCACCAGTGAAAATGAGACTTTTGGAAAGCAGGTAAAGGCACACAGGAAAAGCATGATTAGAGGGAGAGAAGGACAAAGATTGTCTCACCAAAACAGAAAAGGAGTTTCAGGTCAGGATGAGTAGTGAGGGTCAAAGTCTATAGAAAAGTCAGAGGTGAAACGCTAAGGTCGTTGGTAGCCTTTGGGGGTGTCAGCGGATAGAAACCATATTGTAAATATTTAGAAAGTAGAGAGAAAGAGGAGGCAATCACCCTAGCCGATTTGGCTCAGTAGATAGAGCATCAGCCTTCAGATCAAAGGGTCCCGGATTCGCTTCTTGTCAAGGGCATGTATCTAGGTTGCAGGCTCCTCCCCAGCCCAGGCCCTGGTCAGGGTTCATTCAGGAAGCAACCAATCAATGTGTTTCTCTCACATTGATGTTTCTCTCTGTCTTTCCCTCTCTCTTTCACTCTCCCTAAAAATCAATGGAAAAAATATGCTTGGATGAGAATTAACAAAAAAAAACAAACAAGAGGAGGCAGTCAATGTGGGCAATGCCTGGAAAGTCTGGTGGAAACTGGAAGAACAAAGCTTTGATAACTCTTGGAAAAGAAAGCACTGTTGGGGGAGGTCAATCAGGTAAAAAGGAGATATATGTAATACTTTAAACAATAAAAAAGAGAGACGTATGTAATACTAAGTAAGACAGATGTGCTTACTTAGGTGCCTGAAGTAACATGTACCAGGTACAAGGGTGTTCACTGCAGTATCATTTGTATTTTCAAAAGGCTGCCCGTCAATGGGAGCCTTGAAGTGGAATACTACACAGCCATCAAAACGAATGAGACAGGAGTGTTTTGGTTTTTCATTTGTTTTTATTAATCCTCACCTGAGGATATTTTTCCCATTGATTTTTTAGAGAGTGGAAGGGAGAAATGGAAGTGGGGAGAGAGGGAGAGAGAGAGAGAGAGAGAGAGAGAGAGAGAGAGAGAGAGAGAGAGAGAGAGAGAAATCAACGTGAAAGAGACATCAATTGGTTGCCTCCCTTACCCACCCCAACAGGGACCAGGGAATGAACCTGCAGCCCAGGTAGATGCCCTTGACCTAAATTGAACCTGGGACTCTTCAGTCCACAGGTCAACACTCTAACCATTTAGCCACAGAGGTAAGGTGAGGCAGATGTGTATTGATATGAGTGACACATTACTGAGCAGAAAATGAAAGGTACTGTACAGTATGTATAATCTGCTCTTCTGTGTTTACAAATAAAATAGCTGGGTTTGTATATAGAGACAGACATAGGCTAGCTACATCTGGAAATATACACAACACACTGATAGTAATTGCTTCTGGCAAGAGATAGGAAGCAGCACAGGGAAAAGACTGCATTGAAAAATCTTTGGTACTATTTGGATACTTTTTTTAAAAAATTTTTTTAATTGATTTTTTTTTTAGAGAAACACCACATTGTTGTTCCACTTACTGTGTTTCCCCGAAAATAAGACATCCTCTGAAAATAAGACCTACTTACAGGTTTCCTTCTGAGTGAAATATAAGGCATCCCCCGAAAATAATGCTCCCGCCTAGGCTAAACATGAGAGATTTGGTCCACTGATTCTGAAAGAAATGGAGTCCCAAGAAATTCACCAGGAAATTCAGGAATTGGATTGTTATAATGATGTTCCAGAAGATGATGACATGATTGTCATTGAATAAATGAGTAAATTCTTGATATTGTAGGATTCACAGTTTATCTGGTTTGAGTTGACAACTACCGTACTACCATATCGTATACAGGTAATAAATGTCCTTTATTTTCATTTAACAATAAATGTGTACTGTATTCTTCTTCATGGAAAAATAAGACATTCCCTGAAAATAAGACCTAGCACATCTTTGGGAGCAAAAATTATTTTAAGACACTGTCTTATTTTCGGGGAAACAGGGTATTTATGCATTCATTGGAACCTGAAACCTTGGCAAATCAGGACAACACTCTAACCAACTGAGCTGCCTGACCAGGACTGAATAATTATTATTTTTTTAAATATATTTTATTGATTTTTTTTCAGAGAGGAGGAGAGAGTAATAGAGAGCTAGAAACATTGATGAGAGAGAAACATCGACCAGCTGCCTCTTGCACACCCCCTACCGGGGATGTGCCCGCAACCAATGTACATGCCCTTGACTGGAATCGAACCTGGGGTCTTTCAGTCTGCAGACCAACGCTCTGCCACTAAGCCAAACCATTTTCAGCTGAATAATTATTTTTTAATAATAAGGATTATTTTTAAAATAAGAATCCTTTTTTTAAAGGGGGGGTATCTTAGTCTGTTCAGACTGGGTGGTTTAGAAATAACAGAAAGTTATCTCTCACAGTTCTGGAGCCTGCAAGTCCAAAGTCAAGATACCAGCAGATTTAGTGTATGGTGGGAGCCCACTGAATAGCCATCTTTTCACTATAACCTCCCAGGACAGAAGGGGCAGAGATCTCTCTGGAGCCTCTTTTATAAGGTCATTAATGCAGTTCATCACGGCTCCACCCTCCTGACCTACCAAAGGCCCCCACCTCCCATTACCATCACATGGGGGATTAATTTTCAACACATGAGTTGGGGGGTGGGGATAAGCACTCAGGCTCTAGTGGGTAGGAACTTCGAGGACAAAAGGAAGTAGAGTGAAAAAGAAAGGTTTCCTGTCACTATTTCTTTCAGTATGTTTTCGGTATCTTGCTCTCTTTCTTCTTCTGGGACCCCATAATTCTGATGTTGGTTCGCTTGAAGTTGTCCCAGAGTTTTCTTACATTATCTTCAACTTTCTGGATTCTCTTGTCTTCTTGCTTCTGCAGAGTGTCCTCTGGGTCTTTGTGTTCCAAATCTTTTACTTGATTCTTGCGCTCTTCCATTCTGTTTTTAGGACTCTGTATAATATTTTTTATTTCAAACATTGTATTCTTTATTTCTTGTTGTTCCCTTATTATTTCTTGTTGATCCCTTATTATTTCTAGTCGATCCCTTTTCATATTCTCATAGGTCTCGTTTATTTTATCTAGAAAATTCTTGAAAAACCTTATAAGCATTGTTTTGAACTCTATATCCAGTCGCTTTTTGTCCTCCATTTCTTTTGTTTGTGATATGTTTCCTTGTCTCGGCATTTTCGCAGCTTCCCTGAGTTGGTAACCTTAAAAGTCTCTGTGTTCAGCTTGGATGGGGCAGAGTTTCAGGGTGGAGCCTATAGCCTTGGCTTCTGTCAGCCACGCCCTATGAGGCTCCTGAGTCTCAGTATTCCTCAGGGCCCTTCAGTACTCGTTGCAAGCACCTCTGAGAGTAAGGTGCCCTTCAGTTTTGCGCGCTACCAAACAGTCTAGGCTCTCCCCCAATGCGCCCAGAACTGGGGTTCAGTGCAGTCGGAACTGGGACTCAGCACAGTCCAGAGCTTTTGTCTCCTTCCCGCTAGGGCAATCCAACAGCAATCAATGGTCCGTCCTCTGCGTGCAATGTACGGGCCTCCAGGACTGCCTTTCGCCGCTCCCCTGAGGTTCCACCTAACGCCCAGGCTCCCTCTGAATGAGCCTGGGTCCCCAGGATCTGGCCTAAAACTGGGATTCAGTGCTGTCGTATCTGGGGTTCAGCATAGTCCGGAGCTTTTATCTCCTTCCTGCTAGGGAACGCCAGCTAGGCACTCAGCCTCCCCCTCCTCTTTGGCTCTGTCCTCTCCCCAAGTGCACACCGTGTCTCCATACCTTAGGCTTTTACAGCTCGTCTGATTTTCCTTCTGGTTTTCTCTTTCCTTCTTGTTGTAGAATTTCCAGTCAGTGGACTTTCCTGTAGTTCTGGGTAATGTCCATTTTGTATTTTAGTTATATTTTATTGAAATTGTTGTGTGAGGCTGAAGTTAGGTGTTACCTATGCTGCCATCTTGGATTCTCTCCAGGATTCAGAAGGTTTCCTAAGGCTGAAAGCACACACTAAGGAAAAAAGAATAAAGAGTAAAGATGTCACACCCTAACCAGTA